CCACAGCTTCTCTGGGGACCCTGTGCCAGCGCCTCAGCACCCTCCCAGGGAACAGCTTCTGCCTCAGAGCTCATCTCAGTCTCCCCTCTGGCAGGTTAAAGCCATTCCCCTTGTCCAAAGCCCCTCCATCCCTTGTCCAAAGCCCCTCTCCAGGTTTCCTGGAGCCCCTTTAGTACACACTGGAGCTGCTCTAAGGTCTCCCCTTCAGGAGGCTTCTCTTCTCTAGACTGAACGTCCCCAGTTTTCTTTGCCTGTTTTCTCATTAAAAGCTAATCCCTAAATGGTTGAAAATCTCTTCCCATTCTTTTTCCCCTTACACAGAGCCAGATATTGGGATGCCAGAGCCGGAGGCGCAGCGGTTCTTCCAGCAGCTGATTGCTGGTGTGGTGAGTGTGGGGGCAATGCTGGTGACACCAGTGGTGGTCCCTGCATGGTGCTGACCCTTCTCTGCCATCTCCAGGTCTATCTGCACAGCATTGGCATCACCCACCGTGACCTGAAGCCGGAGAACCTGCTGCTGGATGAGCGAGGTGAAGGGGGAGGGCACGTTCTCCGTCCATTCATTTTGAGTTTTAATTTGAATTGATTTGTAAATTGCTATATGGTCTCTGTGTGCTCACTGCTTGGCTTTTGCATGGCCCTTTTGTGCCCACTGCTTGGCCATCACATGCCCACCATGTGGCCACTGCAGGGCCATTGCGTGCCCTGTGTTTGCCCACTGCTTACCCATGGCATGCCCCTTGTGTACCTACTGCGCGGTCACTGCTTGCCCACTACTTGCCTGTTGCATGCCCCTGATGTGGCCGCTGCTCGGCCATTGCTTGACCATCACGTGTGTTGCTGGCCTGCTGCTTGTTCATTGCGTGCCCCTTAAGTGCCTTCTACCTGGCCTCTATACACTATGTATGCCCACTGCTTCCCTGCTGTGTTCCCACTGCTTGGCCATTGCTTGCCCCTTCCATGGCCACCGCTTGCCCACTGCATTCCCGCTTTGCCTGGCTTTCAATTCCCTCTCTTTCCCGCTTCCAGATAACCTGAAGATCTCGGATTTCGGCTTGGCCACAGTCTTCAGGCACAACGGCCGGGAACGGCTGCTCAACAAGATGTGTGGGACACTGCCCTACGTGGCCCCCGAGCTGCTGCGGCGCCCCGAGTTCCGCGCGGAGCCTGTCGACGTGTGGGCCTGCGGCGTGGTGCTGACGGCCATGCTGGCCGGAGG